TGTCCGGTGCGGACCTCTCCATGCGCATAGCCTCGGTCTTGCGCAGTTTTTCCTCCCACGTCTCGTTAAGCTCCGCGATGATCTTCTCTGTCTCCTGAAGCCTCTCCATGGCCTCCTCTGTACAGATCTCGGCCTCGTCGACGACCTCAGAGAAGGGCTCCGTCTCACCGTTCATGGCGGGAGGGGACAGAGGGGGAGGCGATCCCAACTTAGGCGGCGGGGAGACGGGCGCGGCGGATGGTATCGAGGGGCCGGGGACAGATATACCTTCATCTACAGTCAGGTCTGGTACAGAGACAGACAGATACAGAGTTGTTATTCATAAGCACCAGTATGATGTCACATCAAGTCCCAGTAGATGATGGGAAAGAAGGAAGCAAGCTACATATTGTTCTATCTTTATTGCAAGGTTGTCAATCAATTTTCATTATTTGCTTGGCCCCTCCCACAGCTCTGCTCTCTGCATAGTCTATGTGCAGCACAGTGATGATGCCGCTGCTCCTTTTACAAGGTAATATCAGGGAATATCATCCACAATTTTGACCAATGATGTATTACTCCTCTCAAGAGCCTTTAGTCCTGATGCAAGCAGTGGGCGGGCTCTTGGGAGGAGTTATGCAAATATTTTTAAAAAGCCCTGATTGTGTCAGTCTGGAGGAGTGGGCGTTCCTAGGTAGGGTGTATTTGCATGCAGGTAACGCCCACATATGATGCTGAGCCTCTGTGATTGAAAGAACTGAAATCCAATAAATGAAACGAGCAGGAAAAGGATAGCCAGGAAAAGGATGCTGGACATCCTCTAGCCAGGAAATGAGGAGGGCTCTATCTGACTTGCTGCATGCACATGGTGAGAAGCTTTACAGCAGGGGTAGCCAACCTGCGGCCCTCCAGCTGCGGTGAAACTACCAATCCCATGATGCATCTCTATTCGGGAGTCATGTCTGTGGCTGTGAGAATCTTGCAATGCCTCGTGGGATTTGTAGTTCCACCAGAGCTAGAGGGCCGGAGGTTTGCTACCCCTGCTTTACAGTGTGCAGAGGAAGCAATGTCGTTGCAATAGGAGGAGCCGGCACAACTGTACAAGACTAAAAGGAAAGCTTGTTACATCAGCTGCTGCCAAACCTTTCCCTAACCACCACCACCAACCGCCAGGTCTGAAGGCGCCCAGCTTGCACCACCAAAGCCAAGCAGCATGCTACCCCCCCCTACCTGGTAGACTGAAAACGACCTCTTTAGTGATGTCACCTGCGAGTCCCTGGCTGTGCAGCAGCTGTCTCAGTCTGGCCACTTCTTCCTTCAGCTCCCGGATTAATCTGGCGTTGGGATCCTCGTTAATGACCGCGTTGCATTTGATCTGCTTCGCCCGGTCGGCGTATCTGGAAAAAAGGGAGAACGGTAAAAATGCATAGAGAACCTGCGTTAGGACTATCGCTCTGCCCTGCGTCAGCGAAGCACAGGCCGGCTTTAATCACTCAAAAGGGGCCTAAACCTGAACTCAGAAAAAGTGAAGATCGGGGAACATCTAGAAATAAAAAACGACAAATACCGGCGCCGCCGGTTGCAAGAAAAAGCCCAATTTGATGTTAGTGGATACACAAAGGAGGCTGCTCCTGCCGGTCAACAAGACCCTCGATCAGGGAAACAAAAAACAAAACAGAGCGCCTCCATAGTGTAAAAGGGTTATTTATTTGTACGGCACACCGCTGAAATTATACTTACAAAAAGGTCGGTCAATAAAATGTATGTAAGAGTCGATGAAATATGAAACTCTGACAGCGGGAGTCTCACGGGATGAAACAAATCAAAGTCCTCTGCCCCTGTGAGTTCGGAAGGTCTACGCGTTTCAGGGGCACGCCCCCTTCATCAGAACCTGAGGGAACCTTAGGTTCTGATGAAGTGGGCGTGCCCCTGAAACGCGTAGACCTTCCGGACTCACAGGGGCAGAGGACTTTGATTTGTTTCATCCCGTGAGACTCCCGCTGTCAGAGTTTCATATTTCATCGACTCTTACATACATTTTATTGACCGACCTTTTTGTAAGTATAATTTCAGCGGTGTGCCGTACAAATAAATAACCCTTTTACACTATGGGAGGCGCTCTGTTTTGTTTTTTGTTTCCAACATCTAGAAATGTTCATTGTGTTTCGGAAGTCCCCTAGACCTGGACCTTTTACAGCCCGCATCCGGCCCTTTGCCTGCGCCGCTCTAGAGACAAAGAAGCAAAACAAACGGCAAACGCACTCATCAATTTGTTACCAGCTTTACAGCGAGGTGCACACGGAATGGGCTTTATACAGGAACAGCAAAAAGTTTCCCAGCACACTCACCAGCCAGCATGCAAAAAAGACAAATATATAGACAAAGGGGGCAGACTGGATGGACCATTCCACCTTTTTCTGCCGCCACTCTTCAATATTTCTATGTTCTGTCATCATGGGGAACGAAGGACTAATAGTCACAGCCTGAGGCTCTGAGATGGCACAAACTACCTACCGGAGGGTGCTGAGTGTCTCTTCATAGTTAATATCCGCTGGACTCAGCGCTGCAATCATGGCCGTGCGGGAATTTCCTCCTGAAATAAGAAAAGTCTTCCATCACCAGTGCTGGCAAGTTCAGAGCAAAGCTCCGTCCACTTTATTATTACAGAGGAAGCTTACAAATGTCAACACCATTGCTGCTTCCAGTTCAGAGTGCTGTTTACTAGGGATGCACTGAAATTTTGACCGCCGAAAACATAAAAATGGTACTAAATCGGCAAAATGCCAATACCAAAAAAAAATTATATTATATCTCCAGCTTCTCTCCTCCCTCCTGGGTACCGGCTGCAAGCTTCGGTCTGTGTCCTCTCGGATCCCTGCTGTTCTACCCTGCCTGTGTTGGCAGAGGCAGCTGGGATCAGAGGGGACATGGAGCCGATCCATCTGTCGGCACCCAGCAGGGAGGAGAGAAGCTGTCAGGAGGCTGGTTGGGGCGCTACGCGAGGAGACAGCCGTCACAACGACGAGCGGGGCAGTGCAGGGAGAAGAGCCGCCGGGATGCCAAGCAGGGCGGTGCGGGGAGGAAAACTCGGCTCCAGTGACAGGCGGGAGGGGGCAGAGCAGTCAGGATGGAGAGCGGAGCACAAACACTGAGCAATCAGTACTGATCACTGTGTTTGAAAAGAACAGGAGGAGATTGCGATTACTATGTCCCCAGTTATGAATGAACAGGAAGTGCTATACATCACTTCCTGTTCATCCAGTTATGAATGAACAGTTAGTGCTATACATCACTTCCTGTTCATTTACGAATGGGAACATAGTAAACATTTACTATTTGCTCCCTTTATGAATGAACAGGAAGCAGCTCAGTACAGAGACTTCCTGACCATTCATGGGTTGATAGTAAATATTTACAATCTCCAGATTGTGAATGAACAGGAAGCCTTTGTACTGAGAGCTTCCTGTTCATTAAGTGCTGGGGAAAAAAAAGATTGAGAACTCTGTGTCCTCAAGCTCTTATATTTCAAAAGGGATATATCAGGGGGTCTATTTAGGCTCCCGATACTTCCCCAAAGCCCCTAACAGAAAAAAAATAAACATAAAAATAAACATAAAAATAAAAAATTAAAATGTATTATTTCTTTAAATGTTGGAAAAGTCTTTTTTTGTTTTTGGTCTAAAAATTTAATTTCAGTGCACCCCTATTTTTTAAACATAAAAATCCCCCCCTCCCCCCCCATGTTATGGAGGGGGCTGGGGAGTTAATGTTTACTATAATTAACCCTGTCTGTACCGCGCTGGAAGTTCTCGTTCTCAATGCTGCGACTCACCCAGGTTTTCCTTCAGGAGCCAGGTGAGGGCCGAGTCTCGGTACGGGATGAAATCCGATTTCCTTTTCTTGGTTTGCTGGATGAAAAGTTGACAATTGTTCAGATGACAGAAAACACCAAAATCATAGATCTCACAGTCCCCACATTATGACATCATCACAAAGCGCTACATGCAGAATACTCACAAGGATAGGACAGTAGGCGTCTCCTTTTAGTGACAGGCAGCATTAGAGAGAGAAACATGTCAGACAGACTGATAGCAACGTGACCCGAGAACTCGGCTCTACAAATCCACAGAACAACCTTTCATCTGTACTCCTAATATCATAACCTGCACATATAACACGGGGCTTCCCAACCACTCCACCTATATCCAGGGGCAACAATGGGCTGCAGGGTAAAAAATTCCACCGTGGTTCACGGATCAGTACTCCCAAAAAAAGTTATAGGTAGAGAATGCGGCACACACAATAACAGCTGGCCTCATATCTCTGGGAATCAACGGCATCAAGCTGCTCCCATCATGATTCCAAATCTGTTTTTATCCCATTGTTGAATCTTTAGAACCCCTCATAATGGGCACAGCAGGTGTACAGACCCGGGAACTCAACACAGGGATGGTGGGGTCCCCTCATAATGGGCACAGCGGGTGTACAGACCCGGGAACTCAGCACAGGGATGGTGGGAGCTCCTCATAATGGGCACAGCGGGTGTACAGACCCGGGAACTCAGCACAGGGATGGTGGGGGCCCCTCATAATGGGCACAGCAGGTGTACAGACCCGGGAACTCAGCACAGGGATGGTGGGAGCTCCTCATAATGGGCACAGCGGGTGTACAGACCCGGGAACTCAGCACAGGGATGGTGGGAGCCCCTCATAATGGGCACAGCGGGTGTACAGACCCGGGAACTCAGCACAGGGATGGTGGGAGCCCCTCATAATGGGCACAGCGGGTGTACAGACCCGGGGACTCAGCACAGGGATGGTGGGAGCCCCTCATAATGGGCACAGCGGGTGTATAGACCCGGGAACTCAGCACAGGGATGGTGGGAGCTCCTCATAATGGACACAGCGGGTGTACAGACCCAGAAATTTAGTACCATGATCTCAACAACAGCCCATTTGTGGTGAGCTGATGACTGAGGAACACAGCACACTGGGTCTAACCTATTACAGCTTGGAGGAAACACTGTTCTAAGGTTTCACCGGACAACCAATTACTACTTGTGATGAATGCTCTCAGATGTTTGGGACCTAATAAGCCAAAAGCAAAACACTGGATACGATTACTGTTAATACAGTTTACTTATATGCACAACATGCCAGAGCTAAACCAATGCCAAGACCAAAGACCTGCCGCACCAGATCAGACACCGGGTGCCGCGACTGGTCACAATACACACAGCACAAGAGCGACGTGGCAGGAATACCGTACAATCCGAACGTCTCACCATTTCAGCCAGGGCGGAGATCACCTTCCCCAGTGTAGTCAGCGACTTATTGATGTTGGCTCCTTCCTGGAAAAAAGAGAAATGCAATCCGGTTTCAGAGGCTCAGAACGGAAATAAAACCAATTCAGGAAGAAACAGAACTCACTTTAAGTCGGGTTCCTTTCGCCCCGGAGGAGTCGGCCCGCTCACTGCCGGCTAAATCCACCAGACTGATCTTACTGACCTACAAAATCAAAGACACTTTGAAAAGGAATTTTCAACCAAAAATACAGAATATTCCGACATGTCCAGGACCCGGGGGGGGGGAGAAAGGGGGGTTACTCTACCCGGGCTAAACTCAAGTTCTTATACTTATCCGACATGCTAGCAGGTAGGCTGCTGAGGTTAGCATATGCCAGGTATATGTAGGCTGCCATCGCCGACTTGCCTGGCCTTCCCGGGACAAGGAGGAGCCTTGACTTCACCTGTAGGCATCTCTAATAGTATTCTCTTCATGGCCTGCCAAGCAACTAGCATTTTCAGGAGAAGTACAGTCCATTCATATACAGATGAAACTCGAATAATTAGAATATCGTGCAAAAGTAATTACAGTAAGTGCTGCAAAAGGGGCCCAAACCAAGTACTGAGTACATATGCATGCTTGTACTTTTCAGAGGTCCGATATTGTTCTATGTACAATCCTTGTTTTATTGATTGCATGTAATATTCTACTTTTTTGAGGTTGTGGATTTGGGGTTCTTGGGGTTTTCATGAGCTGTAAGCCATAATCATCACAATGATGACAAATCACGGCTTGAACTATCTTGCTTTGCATGTAATGAGTCTCTCTCATATATTAGTTTCACCTTTTAAGTTGCATTAGTGAAATAAATGAACTTTGCACGATATTCTAATTATTCGAGTTTCACCTGCATGTCTCCCAGCACAGGATTACTGTAATCACAATAGCCTCTCTTCCACCTTCCTGCCCCAGAATATGAAATCCTAAACCATGCCGAAAGTCTGAGCTTTGAATTGTGGGACGTGGGGGGTGGAGCTTCAACACACATTTTCCAAAGGTGATATATGAACCCCACGCACATCCAAGGTTCTAGTTCAGGGGTGGACAATTGATTTCTCTGGGGGGCCACATGGGGGGGGGGGGAAATCGGGGTGGCTGTGGAGGTCCAAACCGATTAACGCAGGATATCACTGAACACACCGACTGTGTGGCAGTGCGACAGGCGCGTTACGTAGCCAATTATTTGAATGGCACCCTAAAACGCACCTCCCGCCCGCGATTGACTGCGTAATACCGTGTGTTGAAAAAAGTAGTGCTTGCAATGCGCCTGCCGCACGGCGCCGTGTGTTAGTTGCTGCTACAAAACTACGTCACACCCCAACCACACACACCGTTTTAGGTTCTTTTTTGTTTTTCTCCACGGGCAGGCGTGAGCTGCAGGAGAGCTCTGATGATGCGACACTTGTGAGGTCATTAAACACGGACTTTTCTACATGCTGGAGTGCTTGGGACCTTTTATTGTATTTTTGGGAGTCATTTTGCGGAGGCATCCGCGGTCATTTCAGCACCCACCCTACAATTAGTCAAGCAAAACAAACGGCATACGCACTCATCAATTCGTTACCAGCTTTACAGCAGGCTGCACATGGAAGGGCTTTATACAGTAATAGCAAAAAGTTTCCCAGCACACTCACCAGCCGGAATGCAAAAAAAAAAAAGACGTGCAGAAGACGTGTATCTAAACCTGTTAACCTTAGCGGTGAGACAGGTTTTTTTTTTTGCATGCTGGCTGGTGAGTGTGCTGGGAAACTTTTTGCTATTACTGTACAAAGCCCATTCCGTGTGCAGCTCGCTGTAAAGCTGGTAACGAATTGTTGAGTGCGTATGCCGTTTGTTTTGCTTGACTGATTTGGTGCAGTGACGCACGGGGGGGTCTCAGCTGCCGTTGTGATGTGCGGGGTCCCTCGTGCGTGCCTGTGCCTTTAAGGGAGGTTGGGCTTCCTCCTGACAAACCAGCACCCAATTTGATCTTTTGCCCCATGTGCTCCAAGATGGAGACTCTCATAGTTTAGAGTAAAGGTCCCCACACATCTTACGATAATGGCGGGAAATCCCGCGTTCGTACGATTATCGTAAGGCATGTGGAAGCCGTGCGACCTCTACTACTGTAAGGTCGCACGACTTTAAACTTACGAACATGTTTGAAAATCCGCCGAGCATCGTACGATGTTCGGCGGGTGTGTAGCATGTTCGTAAGATAAAAGCCGGACGGGCCGGTATGCGCAAGCGCACACTGCCCGTTCGGCATTGCGGTCATCGGAAGCCCGCCCCTCAGGGGGCTTGGCTTGCGATCATCGCAAGTACGATCTGCCTATGCAAGATGGGCAGATCGTACGTTTTTTTAAGTACCTTACAACCATCGCAAGACAAAAGTCTTGCGATGGTTGTAAGGTGTGTGACCAGCCTTAGAACCACACTATATAGAGGGGCCTTGGCGCGGCAGTGCGGCTTTCACATTTTCTGCAGAAGACGTGTATCTAAACCTTTGTTTTTAACCTCAGCAGTGAGTTTTTTTGGGATGCTGGCTGGTGAGTGTGCTGTGAAACTTTTTGCACCCTACAATTAGGGTTTTCTATCCGGTCAGGAGCGCGATGGGTGTGTATGTTTTTTGGATTTGAAATGAGGACTTATGACGACTTATGAAATACAATTACTGCAAGGGCTTCTGGGTAACCGACACGCTTTTGACCGGCTGCGGCCACACTCACTTTCTCGGTGTCTAGGTTGGTCATCTCGTCGTGTCTCTTCTGTGTGAAGACGATGGTGAAGACGGCGTGCGAGCGGCTGCTGGTCTCATTCATGTTGGTGGCAGCGACGGTCCTGTACAGGGAATGGAACAGATGGCGCTTATTATTATTACAGTGAGCGGATATCGCAGTGGGAGGAAGGCACTAGCAGTACCCAACTGTCTTTGTTATAGGAGAACGTTGGTTTCATAAAAGAAAAACAAAAAAAGGACGGGGGAGACCTGATTTTTCTCTGCTGCAGTTCAGTAACACGTACTGGTCCAGTAAGTGTTAAAAATGTGAAAAACTTTCAGGAGTCACCAGAACCGCTGTGATGTCTGGACAGTTAGAGACATGATGTCCGTCAGAGCCGCCCTCAGATTGTAAGCCCTCAGGGGCGGGGCCCTCCTTACCATCTTGTCTTGAATTGTAATGTCTTCCTTATATTGTACAGCGCTGCGCAGACTGTTGGCGCTATATAAACCCTGTATAATAATAACAGGCGGTCATCTACGTATGCCACAATGGGATGGAAGGAGAACGCACCTTAGTGAACACCTGAGGTACAGATGAGAGGGTTAAGAGCGGGATAATGAACGGATAGGATAGGGGCCCGTATCCCATATATGTATATCATCTGCATATAAAGCGGCTTGCCTGGAGTTCAGCTTTAAAGCATCATTCCACCTTGGGACACACACACACTTAAAGGAGAACTATGGGGTCAGTGTTTTTCCCCACAGTTCTCCTTAGGGTAACGGGAGGACACAAACTAGCGTCCTCCCGTCACCCTAAGCTCAGTATATAGGGAGCCACAGCTTGCGGTATACTGAGACGCCGCAGCGTAGATGACGGGATCCGCCCAGCTGCGTGAGTGACAGCTGGCTCTGCCTATCTAGAGGCAGAGCCAGCTGTACCCGCCCCCTCCCCCGTCCGTTCCGCCATTCAGCGCTGGCAGATCGGAGCGGGGAGAGGAGAATCCAGCCCCTCCCCTGTTACGGCAGAGAGCCGTGACAGGATCGAGAGGTGAGCGAACCTGGTATGTGTTCGCTCACCTCCCGATCTACTGAGCCGACCTGTGACAGTCTCATTGTCACAGGTCGGCTAGAACTATGAGGTGAGTGGAAATCACTCATCTCATAGTTCTCCTTT